GGAGGGCAGGCAGCGGAGCCGGCAGATGCTGGCAGCGGCCGGTGTCCCCGGGGAGGAGCTGGACACCTTTGCGTTTGAACGCAAGGCCCTGGGGTGGTCACTGCTCTTCGTCCGGTCGTTGGCTTTACTGACCATTCTGCTCTGATTTTCCAGGCACGTTTTTTGCCTCGTGTTTAGTAGGTAGGTGCCGGCTCCGCTCCTGTGATCGCATTGTTCTCATCGTTGTCGTTTGTTGTTTGCCTTGGACCAGGTTGGTTTGTCTCGGTGAGCTCTAGCTGTGAGTGCCAGGTCGCCCCTGTCGCCTGTTCCGCTTGTGCGGGTCGAGGTGGGTTCGTGCCTCTTCCAAACCTTGGCCTTCTCAGGCTCTGGGCTGCCGGGGGCCCGGGAGGTTTTGTAGCCAGCACACCGTGCACCTGGGTGAAATTCGCTTCCCTTCCAGTGCTGTTGTCTGCCTCTGCGCTGGTCCTTGCTCGTGTTGCTCATACTTGTACTCGTCAGCTCCTGGGCATGAGTCAGTGTCTCCCGACAGCCCGGCATGCTGTTTGCATGGTGCAGGTGTCTGCTTCTGCCTTGGGACCCGCAGCCAGCAGTGCTGGGAAGGTCTTGTGGAAGATGCTGCTTTCCCAGCAAAGCTGTCTAGGGCCAGGCCCTTGCCAGGTTGCTCTGGATCCTTGCCCAGCTGTGCTTGTAGCCTGGAACAGCTGCTGGCCAGGGAGCGCTGGCTGTGTGGGGGAGCAGGAGCGTGGGGGTGCAACCCCGCGAGCTCCAGATGAGTCAGCCTCCCTGTGCCAGCGGAGCGGAGAGCTCCTCCGGAGCTAGGAGATGCTGGCTTGCTCCACAGTCTGTGCCTGGAGCAGTCGACCAGGCAGAAAGCTTGGCTCAGCCGGAGCGTCTGGGATCCAGTGGCTTGAACATATTGTGGCAAAAAGGAGGGAACATGGGAACATGTGCTTTGGGGGCTGTGGAACAAATCCATGGGCTCCCATGCAGACTTTTTTTTTCCAAGGAGGAGGGGGAGCTTTTTTAAGCCATTAATTTTCCTTTTGTCAACAGAAAAAAATATTCTCAGCAACTGAATTTTCCTCTGGGGGCAGGAGCAGTTAGTTATCGTGCTTGAAGACAGCGCAGTATTACCACAGAAGTCTTATCTGCGTGGCTGTTGCTGAGACGAAAGATGGGCAGATGTGCGTTGGGTCAGAGGAGCCCCAGCCTCGCTCGCTGTGATCCTCCGCCGCCGTTTGAAGGGCGGGGGTAAGCTCATGCCAGACAACGGAATGAAGCCCTTTTTGCCCAAGATTTGGAGCAAAACTGCAATGCGTTGGGTAGGAATGAATGTCCTGTGGCCGGAGTAGGGGGGAGTTCACAGTGATGGTCTGCCTTGCCTTGTAGATGTCATCTTTGCGTATTTAAATGGCGGGTTTACGGGGAGCACGGAAGAGCAGCAAAAGTCCAGGGCTTGAGATGAGGCACCGACCCCTCAGCAGCAATCGGGGAGCTGGGGGATCCCTGCCGAGGGGCTGGGACAGGCTTGGGGCTGTCCTGGTGCAGCACAGCTCTAACCAGCTGGGCAGCGAGCTGTTGCCTTCCCCTTTCCTCTCCTCTACTTCCCCAAGGGCTTAGTAGGAACCTCTGTCTCCCGGTGGATGCTGAGGAGGCTTTGGGTAAAGATAGGAATGTCTAAGTGCTTTTGACGTGTTAATTACTGATGCTCTCTGATACCATCAAGCCCTTGTTGCTATGTAGATCTCTTCTGTGTTGAGCAGCGTGCAGGCATTAGAAGTCCCCAGGCCAAGGAGATGGCAATCTCCAAAGACGAGGCAGGAGCGTGGTGGTGACAAGGGAAGCGGAGGGAAGGGGGGGAAAAGTGACTTATCCCTGCTTTTCTCTGTAATTTGGGCTAAAGCCTGGTTCTGCGACTGGCCTCTGATCTGTGCGAACTGTCCCCTCGCCCTGCCCAGCCCTAGGGAGGCTGATGGTGCTGGGGTCGAGAAGCTGTGCATGTTTGGCGAGGGGAGGATCGCTTCAGCCCGGTGTAATGATAGGTGGCAGGTGCTGTTCCCTGCAGAAGCAGTTTCCTCTGAGAGCGGGTTTGTCTGGGTTCCTGCTCAGCCTTCGCCCCCCCGTATCGTGTCTTGCCCGCGTTGCAGATGGTTTGGCTCGACTTCACCCTGGTGCCTGAGTGCCTCTGCAAGCCCTTCCAGGAAAGGTATTTTCTAAGCTCTTTGTGCTTTGTTCAGCACATGATGGATCCCTGCAGCCCGTGAATCATCGCTCTTGCTGAGAAGCACTGCGCAAGTCGGGCTTGCTCATATTAGCTATACGATACCTTCTTTGGGGCCATCCTGCAGGTTGCCGAGCCCAGGGAGGAATGAGTGTATCCAGTATCCTGCGGGGCCAGGTCATTAATTCACCTCTGGATCTAGCAGGAGGGAGGCTGGGTTGCCAGCTCCATCTCACTCGAGCATTTGCAGACGCTTCCAGCTCTCCTGTTCCTGCTTCGCGATAGCAGCAGGGCACTCCTTGCTTCAGCGTGCTGGCAGAGCCCCACGGATGAGCCCTGGCAGAAGGGGGAACGGCTGGGGCGAGGAAGGAGACGAATTCAGAGACTCTCAGACTCGTGCAGGTGCTGAAATTTTTCTGGAGCGAGTTTTGATGTGGCTTCTGTTTGGCAGATGGCAAGGCTGGCTTTCAGTGCTCATGTTTTGCCCTCTGCTCGGCTCTTCCCTGAGTGGATGTGAAGATGTTTAGTGTCTTGCCCAGCTGTTTGTTGGAAGGATGATGTTGGAATTTGGAAGCTTGGAAGCAAAAAACAAAGAAAGCCGAGTCGCTAGGGAGCGTGGTTCTGAAGAAGCGGTGCCCAGTGCAGTTCCACTCCGATACCTGAGTGCCCGTGCAGGAGCAGGCGCTGTGCCGCCCGAGCAGGCGGAGAGCGCGGGCTGTTCGTGGAGCTGCTCGTGGATTCAGAGGCACATTAAGACACCAGGGCACGAAGCAGTGCCTGAGCACTGAGCAGCAGAGAAGGTCGGAGTGGTCCCAGCTGCCAAGTGAAGCACCTCTGTGGTGGGGGGCTAGCAGGCTGCGCGGGCGCTGTGGCTCAGCTGGCAGCCGGGAGCTGTTGTGCCGAGTCCTCCCCATCCGTGTTTGCCCTTCCAGTTGGTTTGAACCCCATGTAAATGTGGTGGAGGTGCTGAGACTTGCAGTGTGAGTGGCTCATAAAGGGATGGGAAGGAATTTGGGTTCCTTCCCAGTGGAGGAGAGCAGCATCTGTCCAAAGGCGTGGGAAGGTTTAAGAGCAACCGATCCTAGTGGCTCGGAGATCCGTGCTCCCCCCAGCCTGCAGCCGTTAATCTTATCTGAATTGCAAACCGACCCAGGGACTTTCCCCACCCCAGCCTCCCTCAGAGGAGTCTTTTGTCTGTGCCCGCTCTGTGGAAGCAAAGAATCCATCCGCACGTGGACCTGATTTATCGTCTGACTTTCACAGTGTCCACTGAGTTGATTGAAGTCCCTCCCTGCTGCCCTTTGACTTGGGGAGGGTCCCAAGGGCCAACCGTGCAGCACCTGCGTTACCTACAGCCTCCCTTTCTGTCCATCCATCGCCCCCTCTCCTCCCTGCTCTAGCTGAGCAGACAATGGCTTCCACAACCAGCTCTGCTTGCTGCCTCTGTCCAGAGCCAAAGCTCTTTCAGCTGCGAGGAGCGGGCTGGGGAGGTGCGTGGCGTTGTGCAAGCAGCTCGGCCGAGGTGCAGGAGCTCGGCACCGCTGGGTGGCCACATCTGGCTGCGGAGCAGCAGCAGGGCGAGTTCCTACCTGCCCTCCAGAGCAGGTAGATGCTCCTGGTGCTTGCGCAGCTGGAAGCGCTGCCGTGCCGCAGTCTCCTCACCACAGGGATGGTGGTTTCGGAGCCTCATGCGCCGTCCACGTGCCTTCGCACGCCTCCCGTCCCCTCTTGGCTCCTGCTTGTGTTTGGGGTGGGGACTCCCTTATCTGGAGCCAAGTGCAGTGTGAATCTGTATGGCTGTGGCGGTTTGTCACTGACTTTGATGTTGGTGAGAATGGGAGAGGAGGAGCTGGCTCTTTAGCGACAAGCCGCAGAGGCTCCGGTAACTGCCGGTGTGCTGGGGCAGAGCTCAAGGTCAGCCTCTGGCAAATAGTGTAAGAAGCTGGGGAACAGCGTTACCTGGGAATGCCGTCCTCGGCGGGGAGGGACGGGGACTTGGTGCCCGAGGGGCTGCTCTCGGGGCTGCACAGCCTCCGTGCTGGGAGCAGGAGCCCCCACAGCCCTGCTGAGCCGTGGGGACTCCTCGTCCAGGCGCAGGAGCACCCAGCTGAGGTCACGCTCTGCTGCAGATGGTGTTGGGTGTCTTTGCTCCGCGTCTGCTGGGCCGAGTGGGAAAGCTGCTGGCGACGGCCGCAGAGGACAATGCCAGCAGCTGGGGTGCCAGGAGCCGGCGGGGCTGCTGTTCCCACGGAGGGAGCCGGTTCCTCCGCAGCCAATGCAGCGAGGCTGGCGGGGGGGTGGGGGTGGCCCGGGAAGGGGAGGCTGGCGGGTGTCTGGCTGTGCCCAGGAATGGTCCCTGGCACGCATCCCACTGCGCAGCCCATGGGACTGGGCTCACTCGTTAGAGGTACCCCTGTGCTGTCCTCTCCTCTGTAAAACAAATAGAGCTGTGCAAAACCAACCCCAACAACCAGCAAGTAGAAAAATTGCAGCAGGATTAGTAATGACATGTGTGGGAGAGAAGCAATGCCAGCAGCGTGTCAAAACGGAGGAGCAGTTCAGCACAGCAAAGGGGGCTGAGACCGCTTCCCCTTGCGCGCTCCTCCGTATGGTGCTTGGCTGTCAGCCCCAGCCGTGCCCGGGGCTACCCCAGCTGGCCACACTGGGAGGAGAGAGCAGAAATTTGGGAGCCAGGACATTGTGAGGGCCGGGACCTCCTCTGTCCAGACAGCACGGGGTGCTCGACTGCTCCTAACCACTCTTGTTTTTCCCTCCGCAGGGTTCTGGCATCGGTGATGAGCAATGGGGTATGATGTAGCACGTTTTCAGGGGGATGTTGATGAAGACCTTATATGCCCCATCTGCAGCGGGGTCCTGGAGGAGCCGGTTCAGGTAGGTTTCTGTCTGAGCACTGACTGTGGCTACTGAAAGCCTCCGATTGCAGCTCCAGACTTCTAGATGTCTTGATCAGATGATGGGCGCCGCACACAGCGTGTGCATTAGGTGAGCTCAATGGATTCTTAACTTTCCTACTAATGGTTTAAGGCAGCAGCACGGGTAAGGAAGCAGCACCAGGGATAAAAGTCTGCGATTGTGTGAGGCCGGGTGGAAATGAACTGAAGTTCTGGCTTTGGGGGGCTGTCCTGGGGCCAGCAAGGCGGTGGGAGGAAGGAATAAGCTGGTGCTGGGACAGGTTTCCCTTACTCCTTCAATCCTTACTCCCTTCTTAACTCTACCAAAGCTCAATGCAGCTGCATACCAGTGATGGTGTCCCAGGGCGGAGATGGAGCAGCTATGCTAAAATCTGTCCCTTGCTTATGGCTTCATGCTCGGTTGGCCCTCTCTGCTTCCCTGCACACGTGCTTCCTGCACGCTACGGGGCTGATCTCTTTACTTGCTGTTGGGAGCCTGGCTCGGCTCTCCCGCCCACCAACGATGGCCAGACCACAGCCCTGGTTACCAGCACGCTGCTCTGCCCGGGCCCGGCACAGCCGGGTGGTTTGGTGGATCCCCCGGCTCACTCTGCAGCTTGTGCAGCCGCTCGGGGAAGGAGGGTGCGTGCGGGGAGCTGCTGCTTCCACTCCTTCCTCCGCTTCCCCCAAAGCAGAAGGGCAGCTGGACAGGGCTTTCCTGTGAGCTCTGTTACGGTGAGCTCTTCCCGCGCAGCGTCCCTCGGGAGCACTGCGTGGTCTCCAGCCCTCCTGCGCCTTTTGGTGCTGCGAGGGCTGTATTTGTCACTGTGTCCTGCTAAGCCCTGTTACCTGGGCTTTTATAGCCCCTCACCAGGGCCGAGCGCAGCGGAGCACCGCCGGCTGAGCGGAGCTGGCTTCTCCATGGGACTTTGTCCCCCTGCTCCCTGCCCTTCCCTTCGGGGTCTCTGTGCCACCGGCGGCGTTCCTGCGCTGGCTGAGCTGTGGCCAGGTGCTGGGTAGCTCAGTACCCTCTGCGTAAATCCAGCTTCATTTGAAATAAAACGGTTAAAAATAAAACTGGGCGAATCTGAAACGTGTGCATAATTATTGCAGTTCCATCGCTTAATAATGAGCCGCATCACACAAGCTGTGATTTGTGCTGTGCTGGTAAGCTGCCTTGTGGGGATCCCCGAGAGGCTGGGGCTGCGGGCTGTAGCCCACCCTCTGCCAGCGGGCTGGGGGTGCGTGCAGCTGCCATCTGGTGCAGTTGAAGTCCTGTGTTAGCACCTTCCAGCTATGCTAGTCCCTTATGTCAAACAAGCTTTGATTTTAAAAAGTCTTGTCGACACGTGAACACGATCACAGGCCATCACATAAACCAGAGGGAAAGCTGCAGGTTTATTTAAATTTCCTTTTGAGACGGTGATATCACAAACTCCCTTCTTCCCAGGCTTTCTCGGGTGTGTTTCACAGCCTGTCTGTTGGATACCAGCCCTCCTGCCCCTGCCAGCACCGCAGTAGCTGGAGCTGCGCTGAGGCTGCGTTTGGAGCCAGCACAAGCCGTGCCCCCGACAAGCTTGGTTTGAAGGGAGCAAATTCCTGAGGCCTCTTTCCTTGTCCTCCCTTCAGCGAGGTCCCTCTGCCTGGTCAGCGCAGGGCCAGCTCCAGCGACCCTCAGAGGGCTCAGGGCCATATCCAGCCCCAAGAATTCCCTGTCTGCAAGGATGGAGATTCCCCGGTGCCCGTCCCTGTGTTACGGGCACGGAGTGGCGCTCTGTGTGCAGCAGCCAGCGAAACTGGTGTGATTTATCTGTCGCAGCTCCAGTCTGCGCTTGGTGACGCTGGGGTACCCCAATCGCTAAACTTCAGTGGGGCGGGCATGGGCTTGAGAGGATGAAACGCCGCAAGGGGAGCAGAGGCCAGCTTCGCGGAGGACAGTGGAAAGCCGAAGCCTCGGAGAGCGGGACTTCAGGAAAGCACGAGGGAGAGGAGCGGCTGTCCCCGTGCCAGAGCCCGGCACGCGCCGCCTTTTCTGACGCAGGCTCAGCTGCCCGCTGGCTCGGGGACGTGGCGCTGGGCCGGTTGGCTCGAGCTGCGATGCCACAGGGGCTGCGCTAAAATTCCTAAGATGGTCCTGTAGCTTGAATGGGTGAATCCTAATTCAGCGTACGTCCCGCAATCGTCATCTGCCTTGGTCGGCTGATACAAGGCAGCCTGCACGGCACTGGGCACTGAGGGAGCAGCTTGTAAATGAGACTTAGCTCTGGATGCATCTGACCTTCCTGTAACTCTGGGTTTCTGCTCTGTGGAAGAAAGCTCGGTGTTTTCCAAAGAGCTGGCGTGCGTCCCGCTCCCCCTCCCCAGTCTTAATACTCTCTCAACAGCAGCTTGAACACAAGAGCAGAGCCCAGCTGTGTAAATACAGTGAAGTAATGTTCTAATCTGCCCTGGAAAAATGTTCAAATTTAGCACCCCGCTCCGTCCGGCCCCCTCAGCCCTTTCAGGAGGCAGCCTTACCTGGCGCGGAGCAGGAGCGCAGCTCGGGGGGTCCGTGCCCGTCCCAGGGAGCTGACCTGCCTGCAAGGCACCGCGTGTCTGGGGGGAGAGAGGACCTTGGTGGGGCCGGGCACACAGATTAAAACCAGAGGCGGATGAAGGTGGGCACCTGCTTTTCCAAGGGGAGGGAGGGCGGCTCTGCAGCAGCGCCTCTTGCGTTGCAGCGGAAGGTGCTGTGCATGGCTCCAGTCGATGCAGGTCTGGCTTTTGGTGTCTCGCTCCCCTGTGCGGGCGTCGTGCCTGCTTGTGTAGTGGGGGTGCCTCTTCCCTTTGCTTTCCTCCCCCAGGGCGGCACCCCTCGGAGACGGGGAGCCTTTCTCTGGTCCAGGTTGTCCCGCACGCACGAGCCAGCAAACGCTTCCCCGGCGGGTCCGAGTAACGCGTGGCTGTTCTCTGCCCCTCCGCAGGCTCCTCACTGCGAGCACGCCTTCTGCAATGCCTGCATCACCCAGTGGTTCTCCCAGCAGCAGACGTGCCCCGTGGACCGCAGCGTCGTGACGGTTGCCCACCTCCGCCCCGTCCCGCGGATCATGCGTAATATGCTCTCGAAGCTGCAGATCACTTGCGACAACGCTGTTTTCGGCTGTACGGCAGTTGTGCGACTTGACAACCTGATGTCTCACCTCAATGACTGCGAGCACAATCCAAAGCGCCCGGTGACTTGCGAGCAGGGATGTGGGTGAGGATGGCCTTGGGGGGCTCTGCCGCGGGGCGGGGGCAGAGCAGGGGCCACAGGCTCAGGGAAGGAACCCGGGGTTCGGTGCCTGGCACCCTTTGGCCCCCTGGCTGCAGGGCTCCGGGGGTAGCAGGGCTTTGAAGGCCATGCTGCTGCAGAAAGGGTTTTTAGTCCAACCCATTTCTTTTTAAACTTGGTTCAAAGCCCCTGGCTCTTCGTCTCGTTGCTGGGGCTTGGGTGTCGGTTGGCTGCTGGAAACGGGGTACTGGGGCCTTTGTGAATCCGCCTAGAGCCATTCCATCCCCTTGGGCCAAGTGCCAGGATGAGCTCTGCTCCCTCCCACATGTTGCCAGGAGCGGTGGGTGGCTGGTCTGGCCTTGGCGCTCGTGCTCCTGGTGCCGATATCCGTCCCACTCACGTGTTGGGAGCGTGCAGCCAGATGGTGGCTGACTGTCAGAGACTGGGTCAGGCCCACGGGCTGCCTGGCGTGGCACCTGGTTCAGAACCCTGATCGCTTTGGAGGAGGACAACCCCCATCGCCTGCCGACCTGGTGGTGGTTTGTTCCCATAGCTCTCCCCGAGAGCATTTGGCTTGGCCCCGAGACACGGCAGGGCGCAGGCCTTCCTGCACCTATCGGGGGTTATGGCGCTGGGCTTCCCGGGCCTCTTGGCACATCCTCCAAGACTGGATTTGTTCTGGAGTCTGTTGATGTGCTTACGTCAAGTGCTCTGGTGTGTGACTTTCCCTAATGTGGGGCCTCCACCTTTTTTTGTAATGCTCCGCAGCTTGGAAATGCCCAAAGATGAGCTGCCAAACCACAACTGCATCAAGCATTTGAGATCCGTGGTGCAGCAGCAGCAGACGAGAATCGCTGAGCTGGAGAAGACCTCAGCAGAGCACAAGCATCAGCTGGCCGAGCAGGTGGGTCCGCGTGTGCGCGGGGCTGCCTCGCAGCGGGGTCTCTCCTGGGGAGGGTCGGTCTCGCCTGCTTGGACACCAAACGCCAAAAAAAGGTTTGTGGACGAAGAAAGCGGGTGCAGAGCAGCCCGAGCTGAGCGCAGCGGGGCTCTGCTGCTGCTCCGCACCTCCGTCGTCTGGCAGCTGAGGCGACGGGCAGGGACGCGTTACTCCCTGCCGCTGCGCCGGGGTCTGGTCTCGTGCCGCGTAGCCGCGGTGCTGACTCCTCTTTGCAAACCCTGCTGTGGCCTGCCTGTTGCAGAAACGGGACATTCAGTTGCTGAAGGCCTACATGCGCGCCATCCGCAGCGTCAACCCCAACCTGCAGAACCTGGAGGAGACCATCGAGTACAATGAAATCCTGGAGTAAGTGCTGGTTCTCCCGGCGATCGGGGAGGAGCTGGGGAGCCCTGCGTCGGGGTGCGAGTGGAGCTGGGAGTCTGCCAGCTCTGCTGACGGATTTGAGAGGGGGTGAAGCGCCTTCCGAGGCAAAGGCGCGGTTTGAGAAGAAAATGCTTCACAAAAGCAAGGGGGCAGTTGCGGGGCGCTGGTGCTGGGGAGCGGCGTGTGAGCTGCTTGCGCAACGGGTTCGGACCGTTTTTATTCTTCCACCTGCATCCTGCCCGCAAGCAGGAAGCTGCCAGATTCCTTCCTCCTCGTGAGAAAGGCCGGAGGACGCAGCTTCTCTTCTCCTTTCTTCCCCTCCCTCTGGGGAGGGAGCAGCAGAGCTGAATGCCGCAGCTGGGTCCTGTTTGGGGGTGAAAACAGGGGAGGGGTGGGTGGGGAAATGGAGGCATTCCCCGTCCAGCCTCGCTCCCCAGCGCGGAGCGAACCAGCTCCTCCATGCTGCTGGGAGCGACCAAAAAATGGTCGGTGCTGACCGCTTGTCCCCTGTCTGTCGCCAGGTGGGTGAACTCCCTGCAGCCGGCCCGGGTGACGCGGTGGGGCGGAATGATCTCCACGCCGGACGCGGTGCTGCAGGCCGTCATCAAGCGCTCGCTGGTGGAGAGCGGCTGCCCCACGTCCATCATCAACGAGCTGATCGAGAACGCCCACGAGCGGAACTGGCCGCAGGGCCTGGCCACGCTGGAGACCCGCCAGATGAACCGGCGGTACTACGAGAACTATGTGGCCAAGCGCATCCCCGGCAAGCAGGCCGTGGTGGTGATGGCCTGCGAAAACCAGCACATGGGCGAGGACATGGTGCTAGAGCCGGGACTGGTGATGATATTTGCACACGGAGTGGAGGAAATCTAAGGACTTCCAAAGAGAAACGCTTCGTGCTGACGAGGGAGAGGAGGGGGAAGGTGCAGAGGTGGAGACCGGGGGTAGCCGGTCAGAACTGCTGGTGTTCCCTAGTCACCGACATGGTTTTCTTAGGGCACTGTTCCCTCGAACCTCTTGCTTCCTAGCTGAAATGATTAAACGCCTCTGGTAAATACTACACAAACACTTGGCCCAGCGGTGAGCACACGCTGCAGCCCCTCCATGCTCGCCCCTTGCAGATCAGCTTCCCCGTTCGATGTCTTTCAAGGAGAGAAGGAGCAGCCGCTCCACACGTACTGCCGGACTCCTCCGACCCAGCCCGCGCTTTGGGTGCTGCTGCCTCTCCCAAAGCCCGGCTCCTGGTCCGGCCCAGACCCAAAGGCCCAGCTCAGCTCCCGCTGTGGACTGACCCCGCCGCCCCGGGCAGCTCTCGCTTCTCCGGTGGCCGAATCCTCCCTGGGCTTTCTCTCCCTCTCTGGATTTTTCCGCCTCGCTCTCCAGTGTCTCCTTGCCGCTGTCTCTCCAAGCCTTGCCTCCGGCCGCGCAGTACGGCAGCAGCACAGCCCGCTCCCCACTCCTGCGGCTGGGGAAGGCTCGGCCGGGGCCGTCCCCGCACCGGGCGCTGTCGGCGTCGCCCCGGGGCCCTGCCCGAGCCCTGCTGGGCCCCGCAGCCGCCTGGAGCCAAACCTCGGAGCGTGTCGGTCCCCGGCGCGGCGCCGCGCAGCCCTCGGGCCCCTCTCTCCGTGCATGCCCCTCTCCGCCCCGGCAGAGGCCGGGTCCCCGCGCTCGCCCCCAGCTCGCAGCCCCCGACGCCCCCACGCCCTCCTGCCCGTCTTTGCCGGCGTTTGGCTCCGCTTTCTCTGCTGTTCCTGGCGTTCCTTTTCCAGACACTCGTGACTGTGGTTCTGTAATTTCTTTTGTACTTCTTTTGGCCTTTTCCTGTTTTTCTTTCTCCCCCCTTTTATTTTATTTTTGAAGTACCGTGGACAGGCACGTCAGAACCTGGTTACGTTTACTTGTTGGGAACTTAATTTATTTGCATTTGTTTTGTTGTTTTTTACAGTACTTTCTCCTCCGGCATCTGTACTGCTCGGCTCCGGCCGCGGCTCGGGCTGGCGGGAGGCAGGGGTTGAAGGGATCAATAAACAGCGTTCTGGTTGCTTTATCGGTGCCTCGGGGGTCCGCGCCCGCTCCCCAGCCCCTGCCAGGGAGGATGCGGGGGCGGCCGGCAAAGGGGCTCCGTCCCCCGGGAAATGGGTGGTTTGGGGAGGTCCTCCCCATCCCGGGGGGCTGCGGCGTCTCTTTGTGTCGCTGAGATCAATGAACGCCTTTTCCTGGGCGCTGGTTCCCCGGGAGGGACGAGCCCCCCGCCACGGGCTCCCGGGGGCCCCCGCCGG